AAAGTTTAGAAATAAAGTCCCAAATATTTGCTCCAGAAAATTTTTAGCTTTTTCTATGTAGACTGATGGAAAAAACCTACTAGGATATAAACTCAGAGGGGAAGGACCTTGTCTGCATGTGGCATCTGCACAGCACATACCTCAGAGCAGAATCCATAAACAATGTTAAATCATTTTGAGAAGAGAATGAAAAATAACACTTTATTTCAAAAGTGACATTTTTAAGTTTTACATTTTAAAGAAAAAATGTTCTTATATTTTATTTTACTCCCCCATAAGCCAAACTATTAAACACATATCACACAAAAAAATCAACCCAAAACGGATAAAAATTTTAAATGTAGGACCTGAAAGCATAAAACTCTAGAAGAAAATATAGGGAAGAGCTTCATAACATTAGTCTAGGCAATGATTTCTTAGATATGAAACCAAAAACATAACAAAAGCGGAACTACATCAAATTAAAAAAATCTGCAGAGCAAAATAAGCAATCAACAGAATGAAAAAGCAACATATAGAATGGAAGAAGATATATGCAAAATATAACTAATAAGGGGTTAATCTCCAAAATATATAAGAGACTCCTAAAACTCAATAGTAAAAAAATAAATAACCCAATTGACAAATGGGCAAAGGACTTGAATAGACATTTCTCCAGAGAAGGCATACGAATGACCAACAGGTATGTGAAAAGATAACTTAACATCAGAATCATCAGGGAAATGCAAGTCAGAACCATAATGAAACATCATCTCATATCTATCAGAATGGCTATGATCATAAAAAACAAAAACAAAAAACCCAAAAGGTAACATGTATTGGCAAGGATGTAGAGAAATTGTAACCCTTATACATTGTTGGTGGGAATGTAAAAAAGAGTAGCCAGTATGGAAAACAGTATGAAGGGTTCTCAAACATTACAACTGGAACAACAATATTATCTAGTAATCCCACTTCTGGGCATTTACCCAAAAGAACTGAAATAAGGATCTTGAAAAGTTTATCTGCACTCCATGTTTATTGCAGCATCCCTCAAAATGGCCAAGATATAAAAACAACCTAAATGACCATTGACAGATAAACGGACAAAGAACATGTGGTATATGTATACGATGGAATATTATTCAGCCTCAAAAAAAGAAAGAAATTCTGTGATAGTCAAAAATACTGATGAATCTGGAGGGCATCATGTTAAGTGAAATAAATCAGTCACAATAGGACAAATATGGCATGATTCCACTTATATGAGGTATCTAAAATAGTTAAGCTCATAAGAACAGAGAATAGAATGGTGTTTGCCAGAGGCTGGGGGAAGGGAAATGAGGAGTTGCTGTTTAATACAGGTATAAAGTTTCAGTTACACAAAATGAGTAAGTTCTGGAGATCTGCTGTACAACGCCATGTCTATTGCTAACAATATCGTATTGTACGTTTAAAAATGTGTTAAGAGGGTACCTATGTTAAGTGTTGTTACTACAATAAAAAACAAAACAAATAAAACATAGATCATAGGGTTTAGAGCTAGCTTGCTTCAGAGCAACTTCATAGTTATAGTCCGCTTTTCTTAAAAACCTTCAAGATCTGTTTCTGGGAAAAGTGAATAAATTTTAAAGGCCCAGAAAGCATCAAAATTTGAACAGGAAGCTATGGTTTTATATGAAATAAGAGATGTTCTATAAAAGATATCTCAATCTCTACTTTCTGATATCTCATCTTTTCTATACTATATTTCAATTGCTACAAATTACATATAGTTTGGTTTGCACCACCCTTTTAAATTTCCATTTTTTCTTAACGGAGTTACACTTGCATTTATTACAAAAGTATGTGGAATTTTGATGGTGTTGGTAGCTGCCTAAATGTTGTGACCTGGTGGGAAGAGAAGGGTCCTGAAGGTGTACTTTATGGATTTTATCGCATCCAGGACCTGCCCTTCAAGACTCAGAGAGAAGCTGCTGCAAATGGTTGTTGTCTTCTGCAGATTAGAAAAGGCAAATAAAAATATAGCCATAGCACAGCAAAAGTTCAATACTTCTTGATGACAAGCATGGACGCTGTTGGAAATAAACTTTTCTTCTAGACTTGAGGAGTTTTATGAATTGCTGGAGGGTGGGAATCAGCATTATCATTCTCTTTTCTACTTCAAACTATTACTATTTATTTACCATATGCGTATTTACCATATGCTGGCGCCTTTCTGAGTGTTTTACATGAAATAACTCATTTAATCTTTACAACATCCTCATGAGGAACGTAACATTACTACCATTTCAAAAATAGATAGACCGAGGCCCAAGAGGGAGAGTAATTTTATAGAACCCTTCAGCTGATAAGTAGCAGAGCTTGAGTTTGAACTCAGTGACTTTGGAGCTGAAACTTTTTACATACCCTGGAAGGACATCATAGGTCTGCTGCCTCAGTTTTTCATGACTGGCTAATTAGCTGTGTCCTTCTGCAGTCAAAATGAAGATGCTTTTGAAATTAGTTCTTCCTCTAGATATCAGACATTTAACAGCCCCTCACCATTTCTTCCTGGAGAGAGATAGATACAGAAAGGTTAATCTTATACGATCTGTTCTGGCCTAGTTACTGAATGGTTACTCCATAGCAAATTTAAGGATTCAGGTATTTGTGGTATAACTAATACCATGTGGATCCCAAATGGAACTTTTAGGAAAAAAAATTTGGTTGAGACGAATTGAATTGTCTATTATAAAGTCTGCTACCAACTTGATTTTTTGTGGGGTTAAATATAATCAACCCATTACAGACATATGATATACAGGTAAAGACATAGTTTTGACTACAGTGCTTCTTACTGGAGCTGTGGAGTGTTTCCTAGCCACAGAGAGCTAAGTCAACCCCAAGGTTTGATTTTCTTCATTATACCTCCTCACCTTCTGTAATTCTGTCTATATTTATGGGTTTTTTGTTTTTGTTTTTGTTTTTGCCATTTTTCCACAAGTGTATATGTGTATACATTTATAGTGTTAGAAAGAAATGTTTCTGGGGATTTGGGTGTGAACTGTCTGCCTTTCCACACATTGAGATGATTTGTTTCCTGTCCTTTAAGAAAGCCCTTATATAATAGTTTCACCACTTCTTAGCACTGTGACTTGGGCCACATTACAACCTTTTTGTGCCTCTGTGCCATCAACTACAAAATGGATTTTAATTGTAAGTACTCACTTAGTAGGGCTGTTATGAGGAGTATTCAATAAGTAAGTACACAAAAAGGACTTGTTTGGCACAGTGCCCAATACAAAGTAAATATTAAATATAGGTTCACTACTATTATTTATATTATTACTATTAACTTGTGGAGGAACTAACTTTCTCACAAAGTATCACCAAAATATCATCTAAGAAACAAAAGCACATTAGAGACTTTTAGGGTTGGTTTGGAAGATTTAAGATATTTTAAAATTCAAGTTTATAGTTAATAATAGCTAACATGTATTTATCACTTATTACATGCCGGGTATAAACTATGCACATTATCTAATCTCATTTAATCTTCACTATAATTCTGTACGATATAAATCCATGCTCAAGTCTTACTAAACTGAATGCTGGGCCTGATCTGTGGTCTGTTAGAAACTGGGCTGCATAGCAGGAGGCAAGCAGTGGGCAAGCTTTGCAGCTTCTCCCCAGTGCTCGCATCACCACCTCAGCTCCACCTCAGATCATCAGGCATTAGATTCTCATAGGAGCACTGGTCCCTGGTGCTAAAAAGGTTGGGGACCGCCGCTCTAAGAGATCTCATCAAGGTTAAAAACGTTTGGATACAAATAGACTTTAATATGAAGAAATATACTACATACTTTCTGCATTTCTACTGCCTACATTTACTTCCTATTTTAGATTTTCCTCATTTTTCTCTTCTTTCATTAATTTAGTATTTATTTATGTAACATGCCAAATTACATATACTTTGAACTTAATTTGAAGACTGCTAATGTTTTCAGTAATCAAATCAAAATAATGTTATAAGGGCCATATTGTTTTTTAAAAACTTACATCTAACTATAGATTCCCAAATTCTGATCCAAACTTGTACTCTATTTAATTGGTCCATTCTTTGTATACTCACACTCTCTGTTCATTTCTCACAAATTTTATTTTATAAACAGAGATTCAAATGTCTTTCTGTGTCATTGTGGCTTACCTATTTACATGTTTCTGAGCGGACTATGAGCTCCTTGAGGGGAAGGCCCTTGTCTATACATATGTTTGATTTTTTAGCACAGTGCTTGCCTCATACATGGTATAAACTTGTAGAAGAAATGGGATTTAAATTATAAACAAACACATATATCGAAATTTACAATTATTAATTTATAATTATATTACCTAGTGCTCATCTATATTACATGTTTTATAACTCACAACTATATTCAAAATATTTAATATTTTTAAAATTCAAATGACACATTTCAAACACCATAAAATATTGAATATGTCGTTTTACATAGTATTATTTTATAATAACCTGTAAACTAGTTATTACACACACATATACAATAGAGTATTCACCACAGCATAATTACAAGATGGAAGAACACTGAATAATGGAAAAGTTTGGCTATTAAAGTCAGGCAAACACATTTGCATTTGGATTATCTAGCACTACCTGAGTGCCTTTAGCTATTTCTGAATCTGAAGTTTCTGTGATATGGAGATATTTAATACCACGCTCAGGGAATTATTTTAAGGATGGAGCAAATTTATGTTAAGGGCCTGCTATTCAGCAAGCCTTTAATGAATCTTCGTGGACACCTCATCCCTCAGCAGTAAATTAGGTAAAGGTTTTAACTTTTCTACACATTATGAGTTTTTTTCCAGTCACAGAACGTATCCTTTTTTTAAGTTTGTCAATTCAGAAACTCTAGGTAAGATGAGAGAGGCACAAAAGAAGCCACCTTTCTAACTCTGGATTGCTAAACCCGCAGGAGGCGCTGGGCGGACCTCCAGTATCCCAGCATTCCTCGCGCTGCTCCCGTTGCTCTGCGCCCATGTTTCTATGGTAGAGCCGGTCTCGGAGGCTGCGGCGGCGGTGGTGGCGGCTGCGGGAGAGTGGGGGCTCCAACTTTTCTATTGGTTTGGCGTGCAGAGGGTCGCGATGTCAGAGAAAAAGCAGCCGGTAGACTTGGGTCTCCTGGAGGAGGACGACGAGTTCGAGGAATTCCCTGCGGAAGGTAACCCGCTGGGCTGTGCTGGGTCCCGGCGTCTGGGCCACGCGGACCGTGACTCAGGCCTGCGGGGGGAAGGAGGCGCGGGAGCAAGGGCCCGGCGGGAAGGCGCCCGCGGCAAGCCTGGACCCCCGCGGCCGGCTCTGGCGGCTCTGCCCGCGCGACCCTCCGTGCGACCTGCTTGGGGTTCGGAGTGTCACGGTGAGACTCGCCGGTGAGGTTGTATGCCTTCTGCTTCCTCATTGGGAGGAGCCACGGCGACTCTGGGCCTCTAGTTCGGGTGTCATGGACGGTTGGTCCTTTTACTCTTCAACTGGGTCACCTGCCACCTCGTTCAAGCCTACATAACCTCTATTCCTTTTCTTTTCTTTTGGTTTAACAGCCTTCCTTTGCTTTTAAACCTGCCAGAATTAAATTGTTGCTTCTGGTTGGGCTAGTGCCACTTACTTTTAAGACTTTACAAATGAAACTTGTTAAGTAGGGTGGATGGATCAGGTGTTGGTGCTTAATACACGTTATTGTTTTGTTGCTCATTAATTTTTGATCACTTCGAACTAACATAAATTTAAGTATTTATAAGACCCTAAAACGTCTATGTTTTGTTATCTTCATGGTTACCAAGAGGCACTAATTCATTTTCACAAATCTAGCATGTAGGTACCGGTATTACCATTTTTTTCAGATAAAGAAACTGAAATTTGACCAGTGTAACATAACTGGCTAGAAATGATGGACACTTGGCCCTTTTGACGCCACAGTTCTTAAACTTTTTAAGCTGTACTGGTTCTATTTATTTGTTAGATCGTATGGCTAGTTAGAATTTCCAAATTACTTTATTGGCTTAATGTTACACATAGGGTAAATATCTCATAAGAAAAGGAGGTTGTTACTGTTTTTCTAAAGGTGGTAGAAAGGGAATTGTGGTTAATGGTGTACAGATTTGTTACATTAAGCAATTACTGCTTCACTAAAATTGTCCTAAGTTGTACCCATCATGATTCTATTGTGCATCAAACTGCACAGCTGGAACATTTGTTCTTTGTAGTTAGTTATATTCTATTTTTTTTTTTTTTTTTTTAGTGGAAGAAATTAGTGTGCATACTCCACAAACTCATAAACTAACAACCCAAAGCACTTTTTTTCCCCCCTCCAATTCTAGGATCCATTATATATTGTGGGGATTGTTCTTTGTTTTAGTGGTAGATTTATCTGTTCAGATGTGTTTTCTTTACCTCACTTTGAAGTTTGATTCACAATGCTCCAACAATGATCTATGTAATAGAAACTGGCTTATTGAGGGCAGGATCCACTTCTTACTGAAATTTCGTGTTTTAAATGTTTAGCATGAATGTATTCATCGTTTATCATATACAAGGTACAATGTTAGGCACTTTATTTACAGTATATAGTCTAATTATCACCATAACCCTGAGGAAACAGGCTCAGAGATTTAAAAAACTTGCCATTAGGTGGTTCAGCCAAGATCTGAAAGGTCAGTCTTTAGTGAATCCTCAATCCAAGCTTTATCTGTAACATTTAGCAAAGTGCCTGGCACATTGTAGGTGGTTAATAAAGGCTTGTGAAAGGAATGAATCTGTATGTAAAATAAGTAGTTGAAAATTGCTTAAAAGGATCTAGAGATAACTGTGTACCTTGATGATGCACATGGTTTTCCACAACAACTTTTAACAGCTTTTGCAGAATATGTAGGTCTTGTACTAAGTTTATGTTGTGAGCAGAAATTTGTTGAAAATGTTGATAGTAACATAGAAAAATCTCATTAAAGCTTAAAGGTAAAGCAGAGAATATTTTTTGTGAAGAGAGGCCTCTCCAGCAGATTGGTTTATTTACATTAAGTAACTCACCTTTTATTGGTCACCTTACAGAATATTTGTCTTCAGGAGGTTCGAAGTTGTAGAATCTGCTTCATTCAGGAAACTTTCCATTTAAAATGAGAAATGACATTTGAATTGCTTTTGTTTAGGTTTCTGTATTTTTCTTTTGTTTATAATTCAGACAGTTTTCCTTTGTTGTTAATTTCAATTATTGAGATTTTGCTGGATACAAAATTAGCCCATGAGGTGAAGCCAATAAATATTTACTAATAAAAATTGCTCTGGTAAATAGCAAAACTAAAAGAAAAAAAAACTTGGAAAAATATCATCAGAGAATCATTTGTCTTTTGAAACAGTATATTTCTGACTTTTTTAGCCTAGTCATGGTTAATTTTCATTGCCATTCAAAGTGTGATCTATGAACCAGCAGTTTTGGCATTACCTGGGAGCTTGTTAGAAATGCAGCATCTCAACCTAGACCTACTGACTCAGTTTGGACTTTTCCAAGGCTCCTAAAGGATGTGTATGCTCATTAAAGTTGGAGAAGTACTACTTTTAAAATGTGGCCTATTTTGAATCTTTCAGTATTAGATTTTTTTTGGTTATTAATTCTCTGAATTACTTTCAGAGTTCTTTGCCTTCTTTGGAAGTTCTTGTGATTGTCTTCATGGTAAATATGCCACTGACAGAATCACAAATAGATAACTCTTAAATTGCCTGCAATCATCTTTTCAATCTATCCAAGGTCTTTCAAAGGTCTTGTTGGGTGTCTGTGCTCCAGAAAGTGGATGATAGCCACTGTCAAGGGTAGCTTGCAGTTAAGAGCCTGCTACGTGAAAGTCTTTACTGAAATTAATGTGTCCCTGGTTTAACTAAAGAATTGTCCATCTTTTGGGAGTGTTGTTGCTACATCTCATCCCAGGTAAGAACTTGTTTGGTAGGATGCCAGTTCAGTCGTTTTAAGGAAGGGGGATTTCTGTTTTAAAAAAGAAACTAAGATAATGTATTTTCGTGGAGGCCTCATTGTTTTTTTTTTCTGAATATCTCTTCAGAAAATGTGAGTTTTGTGAGATGGGGTGATTCTCTGAAAGTACAAGGGAACAAATACTTCCCCCTCCCCCCATTATTTACTCTGGATCTGTGTTACATTAGTGGTTCTTCACAATTCTAGTTGGTAGGTTTGTAATCTACTCATCGTTAAGTAGGAACTGTTAAAAATTATGTTTAGGATCCTTGTGAAACTCATCCTGCATCTTCTCGACTATTTAAACTGATTGAGAATAGGCTTTATTAGGAAAACATTCAGTGTTCTGGACATGATTGGGTATAATTTTGGAGGCTTTGGCATGGTTAGAATTTTAGAACTGGAAAGCAACTTAAAGTCTACAGTAGGTAGATTTTGTCAAAGTCATGCATCTAAGTTGGTGGTAGTAGAGTGGGGTCTAAAACTGAAATACTCTTAATTTATTTGAAACTTCAAACAAGTTTTCATATTCGACAGCTATTGAAAGTGTATTAAAATATTTTCGTTAATCTCCTTTCTCTGACAAGGGTAAGTTGGTGAGAGTAAAAGTGGGAAGAACAAGTGGGCTTTTAGATTCTCTTAGTTTCTTTTTCCTGTGCCAGAATCGAGAGTTTTTTCTTTTTTTGAGGGAAAAGCTTTTTTTAAAATATTTAAAATGAAACTGAGTTTGCCTCCAGAAGCAGTAGTATTTACAAGAGAATATTATTATGCTAAGTATTCTATAATTTTTCTTTAACCAGTGAAACTGCTATATTTGAAGAAATCAAAAGCAGTATACCACCCACCTCCCCACCCTCCTTGAGAAATTCCTGGGTAAGACACTTGATGAGAACATGTCTGTTGAGGCAGATAATAGGCTGGTGGTCTCTCAATGCTGCCAGCATTCTAGAATAACTGAGGCATTCTCACCTGTGTTTAACAGAGTAGGACATCTTATAATTCTTAACCAGGTGAGTATTTTTGGATGTCACATTTACTTGACAGGTAGGAATGTGAAATAAGTACCAGCATTTTGTGGGTAGAGGTCAAGGATTTTAAATGCCTGCTATTTATAGGCCAGTCCTGTACAGGGAAGAATTGTCCTATGAAAAATGCCACTGAGAAATATTTACTTGAACGTTGGATACTAACTAGGCTAACCCATTAAAAGAAGGATTCCTTAGAATCTTAAATGTAGAAGTAGATACAGCTAATATTGATTATATCAGATATCACACTAATTATTTTACCTAGTACCAAAAGGGGCTTTGCTAATTTTAGTTATTAAATGTAATAGACAAATAATACTATCATACATTTAAATTAATTCATGGTGGTAGCAAGAAATGGAGAATTCATGTTACTAAATATTTTTAAGAAAAAAAGATAAATACAATGAATGGCAAAGTGCCTATTGAATACCCTTTCATGCTAATCATATGCTGCAGTGAATAGTCGTACATCTTTGTATGTGTGCTTTTTGCTTTTATATAAGATAAACTTTTAGAGAAGAATTTGCCAGGTCAAATTGAAAGGTGCATTTTAAAATTTTTTCAATATAATTTTTTTACTTTGAAATAATTGCAGATTTACAGAGTAATTGAAAGTACAACCTTTTCCCCCCAAACCATAAGTGAGTAAGTTGCCAATCTGATGCCCTTCACTCCAGAATATTTTAATGTGTATATTTCCTGCAAAGACAACCACAGTACAAACATCAAAATTGGAAATTAACACATTGATACATTACTATCATCTCTAATCCACAAATTTCTTTCAGGTTTCTCAGATCGTCTCAATAATGTCTTGATTTAGAGTCATGGGTTACTGCATTCAGTTGTCATGTCTCTTAGGCTTCTTCAGTCTAGAGCAGTTATCAGTTTGTCTTTGACTTTCGTGATTTTGACACTTGTGAAGATTATAGGCCAGTTACTTTGTCTCGTGTTTCCCTGTGCTTAGATTCATGTTCAGCACCTCGGCAGGAAAATCATAGTCATGATATTTTGTTCTCATTGCATCCTATCAGGTGGAACATGATTCTCATTTGTTTTATTACTGATGATGTTCATTTTGATCACTTTATTAAAATAGTGTATGAGAGACTTTTCCATTTTTAGATTACTCGTTCATAATTAATAGGTGTTTTGTGAGGTGGGACTTTGAAACGC